CAACTTAACGGCCTGCTCCCAGTTGGCTTGTTAGCTCAATTGGTAGAGCGCTGCACTAGTATTGCAGAGGTCAGTGGTTCGAGTCCCGTACAGGCCTGATTTTTTTCAGATCTGATTTTCGCTATTGCATAAATAGCACTATCTACTGCGAGGATCGTGCATCATTCTTACCATTTCAACTTTGTTGATACATTCAAATTATTTCGTTACCCCACCGACGCAGCCCCAAACAGTTTCTTTAGAAACTATCAGCCTTTATTAATTATATAACAGACAAGTAGATGAATAAAATATTTACAGTATGATGTAATACAAAAGCGGGCACTAACTTTGGTAATTCTGTTATTGATATTTAACTTGACCAAATTCTCAATCCTTTGCCTTTCATCAGATATGTCAAGAATGATATTGACTTGTCTTACATAACATCTAGAATCATGGGTAGGTAAATTACATCGAATCTCCAACCAGTCTCTTGAAAAAAATTTTTTTCAAAATTTATGATAATCAATTAATATTTTTGTGTTTGCTAATTCTTTTCATGGTTTGTGTCTTTGCAGTAATGTCTTTCCCAGCAGATGGGATTGAGTCAACTTACAAAAACAATATAGATGATGTAAGAGATTTCCTAGACACAAAATACCCTGAGAATTACTTGATTGTCAATGTATCACCCAGAACATACAGAACAGAGAAGCTCGGAGATAGGGTATGTTTGATTTTTTTCAAAACTGTTGATGTGTTGGCTAAAGTGGAAGATTTAGTGATAAAGATGAGCGATAAAAAATATGAACGACATTTTGACCGCTCCATGGTCATTTTCAAGTTAGAGTTCATGAGTAAATTTCCGCATAATTATATAAGATTTCTGAAACAATGGAATGAAGGTAAAAGCTAAGTGTTTACATATAAACAATAGAGCTAATACCTAATAAAGTGGAAGAGTTTTTTAATTAGATACTGTTATCATTGCATTCATTGTATTCCTATTTGTTTCTGGCTATTACCCAGAAAATGCATTCCACATATCTCTTCTTTATGTTACTTCTCTTTGCTGTTGATATATAAAATTCTACACGACTGTACATTTGAATTATTTTTCACACATACCTTGCTATTCTACATTTATTTTGGGTAAATAAAAGGTCAGAACTGACTCATTTGCCTCCAGTAATTTGTAGCTGCTAAGTTCCATTTGTTAGGCATTGTAGTGGTGTGTTGAAAGTCTTATGTTAAAATCCAAATGTTCAGATTGATTTCAACCCCTGCCAACACACACATTTCATTGAGCAACCCTGATGGGGGGCTTTTCAACATAAATTTTGTGCCTTTCAAGTTGCATAAGTTAGAATTTAAACTGCTACTTCAACTCTGTTAGTCATATGTTTTGGCAAAGTTTTATTTTAGTTTTAGGGAACTTTTTTCTAGAGTGTCTCTTACCTATTAGTTAAATGAAATATTATGGTATTGATGGACATTATAACTGTGATCACAGGTGATAAACTGCTGCCTAGTGGGTCACAGGCTGCCTCCTTTAGAGAAGTTGCTATCCCTGTGTAGGAAAATCAATTCTTGGTTAAGGACTGACAGGAAGCATGTGGTAGTCATTCACTGTCAGGTACACAATCTTGGATTTTATCTTCTACCAATTTCAATTAGGTAATAAGATTTTTTTTTCTAGCCTTAAACTACAGTCACTGTGTAAGTATTCAGTTTTTTTTGTTTTTGTTTTGATACATGTCTACCATACAATTCATCATCATCGCATTTAATTCGGAGAATTTGGTATTGGATTAATTACTACTCACAGTGCTTTCAATAAGATTTGAAATAGGTGGCTACCCTCGGTACAGCACCCGCTGGGGAGCGACTTGAGTGCGACTTGAGTGTGGGTGACTGTGACTTGAGGGTGGTGAAATATACTGGGTGACTCGCAATGGAATACCCACCAGAGCTCCGACGGGTGCCGGGTCTTATTGAAAGCGCTGCTAATCCCCTAAGTGATATTTTTTCACATTCAGGTCATTTGTGTGTTTGATGCTGCAGTGATATTGTAAGAAGCCATTCTGTCGTGGTCACTCATGATAGTTAAAGTGCCACTATGATCAAAATTTCGCATTGCCTTTTCTTTTCACTTCTGGAAACTAGAAGTAAGAAACACTTACCATGCCAAGTTTAATCGCAAAATCCTCACGGGAAGTATGATTATTTCAACCTTGTTTTTCGTTTTTGGTCGCCCGCCATTACTCAATTAAAAAATGGCCGCGTGTGGCAAAAAGAGTTGGCACTAGTTGGAGCCTTTCGGAAGTGACGTCATATGCGCAGCTCGACCTAAAAAACGTGGCTAAATTTGTATGCCATTTGGAAGAAGAATTCGAGGAAGAATACATCTTATAAAACGCCTAGAATTTCCACTGTCGAATCTCTCACAACACACGAAGCACGATGCGAAAGTGCGCATATGACGTCACAGGCCAGCTCATGCGTAAAACCGCTTCTCAGTTCAGTCACTGGCTCTCGGTTGCGAGCTGAGTAATGGCGGACGGGTTTTTCGTGAATTTCGGCCAGCTATATCAAGGCGTATTTCGCTTCCATCGACCTAAAAACTATCACATAGTACAATTCTAACCATATTAACTTGATTGGCGCTAAAAAATGTGAAAACCAGAGACAAAAATTTTCGTCGTAGTGGCACTTTAAAGGGTTGAAGGAAATTGTAAGAATTTGTAGTGATAGTTGTCTACTGGAGATAGAGTTAGCTAAGGTCTTATTAAAACACCACAAGTCCTAACAGGAAGCCAACAGATATACTGTACATGCAGTAGGCATTTAAGATTCTGTGACTTCTTTCTGGGACATTTTCTAGCCCACATTTAGGTTTATACCAAAGTGAAAACCACCATTAATGGTACGCATCCTCAACTTCTTGTTGTGAGGCGATAAATAATTTACTCTCTTTCCATATTAAATTTCATACATACACCATTGCCAAATCATGTGGTAATTCCTGTTAGTAATAAATAGTGTTAAATTGAATATTTACCTCTCTCATGATTCAGGATGGCAAAGAAGCATCAAGTGTTATTGTTGCTGCTTTTTTTGTCTTCTGTAAATTGTTCAAAAATCCAAATGGAGCGGCAGACATGTTCAGCATTCGCCGCTGTGGTATTGGACACAAAGTTTCACTCACTGCTTCACAGGAACGGTAGGTGTTAATTTCTGGAATCATGAGACTGAGTACATTTTAATACATATCTAATTGACCTAAGTAATGTACTGAAGGTGTAGTGCAATGCTGATGAATTTTTTTTTCTTTTTGTGTTTACCTCTTTAGCTATTTACTCTACATCACTCAACTGATTAATAACCAAGAATTGAAACCTCACAAGTACTCGGTTTATATCAAGTCTGTAACAATTCATCCAGTGCCAGCCTTCAACAAAGCCAGGTAAAAACTTTGACACAGTTTAGCCTAAGACAGATACTTGCATTTTAAATATCTCTTTCATTCCTCAGAGTTTTCTTCTTCTACAGTAGTTATTCTGCTCCCAAACTTTTAAGTTTGGTTCATTGTGATTTTAGAACAGGAACCCAACAGTTTCTTTTTCTGTGTCAGGAATGGCTGTCGTCCATTTATTGAGGTGTACAATGGAGAACAGAGAATCCTTACCACAGTGCAAGAGATTGAAAAAATGAGGTAGAGAGTTAACAATTGAAAAAAATGTAATCTAGGGTTTGAAATGAATTGATTACCCCTTACAAACCAAGTTCAAGGTCTATACTGTGAGATAAGGACCAAGCGGATAAACAGAGATTCTGTAACTTACTGTACAGACTGAGAACATGAGATTAGTGAGATATTTATTATATCTCTGTTTTCAAATTGAGAGAGGAAATCTCAATTCAAACAAGCTTTCGAATTTAGCAGGCCATATGGTGAATTATTACACGACTCGGGCAGTCAGAGGGCCATTAACTAAAATCAACCAATCAAAATGCTCTATTGCCGGTCAATATTCTCTAAGTATTGGACCAGGCACTGTCCCGAATGATACCGCACTTGTGTCCCTTTGAACTTCAGTCGTATAATAAATCTCTTATTAACCAAGCTTGCTCGGGACCGTACTGGAAGAATATCGGCCCTCTGTCTTTTTTGTACAGACCTCGCTGCACTCGGTCCATACTGTTAAGACCTCTGGCCAATATTCTCCCAATACAGCCCTTGCGCTTGGTTAGTAAGATACATATGGCTTGATAGATGTAACAATCACAGTGTACATACTGACTGAGAGATGCCAATTCACAATCAAATTGTTTTTGTCTTTTTTTTTTTTTTGTTTGATTGATTCAGGGAGTACGGTCTTGGTGACGGAAAGGTGTCATTTCCTGTGAACCTCACATTGCAAGGTGATGTAACTGTTGTAGTGTACCATGGCCGATCTACACTTGGAGGAAAAGTTCAAGGGAAAATGACTTCCATGAGAGTCTTCATGCTTCAATTCCACACTGGATTTATCAAGACCTCTGCACAGAAACTTAAGTACTCACGGTATGCATGCTGTAAATAACTTAAATTTCCTCTCTTTTTTTTGTATTGATTTCTGGTTTTCTAATTATTGTCATTGATATTTTAATATCAATATCCATAATCTTCATGCTCTTCTCTTTACATTTCCTTTGGTGCTAACAGTGAGAATTTGTTTAACAATCAGAGCTTCATAGGTTGAGGATCATTTCCTTTATTCTTGTGATGTTAAAGAGTGATTTAATAGTATTACTGTTAGGAGAAGCTAGATGCTGGTCACTTCCAAGGCTTCAAGGGTTAATGGACCAGCCTGATAGCAATATTATTTCTTTTTTTTTTTTTGTCAACTTACACAGAGATGAAGTGGACATCAACAAGGATGATGAAAACAAGTTTACTTCAAATTTTACTGTCACACTTGACATCACTGTTGATGCAGAGGAAGCAAGCAGTTTGCCAACTCACACATGGGAAACACTCAAAGTGGAGAAACTGTTCCCTCAAGTTTGTTTCTCTACTAAGGAAGAATATCTAGAATGTCAAGAGGAGTTTGGTTAGTAAGAGAAGAAATTTTCTGCCTTATACAGTGGTTTACAAGACACCATTATACTTTCTTACTTTTTTCTTACGCAAAGGCTTTAAATGGGAAACTTTTACATTTTTTCGTCTAGGGTTTTCATTTATTCTCTTTCTCCTTAAATTTTATTCAGTTGACAATGTTCTGGATCCATGCCTTTCTAGTTAGTCTGATGGAAAATCTGTAGTGGGCTTTGTTATGTGAATTTTGTTTTATCATTTAGACAAGAACAACAGTGTTGATCTTTTCCTGTTAAGGCAACCGCAAGCTATCTTGAAAATTCTTTTTCTTTTTCCCTTTCTCTCTTTTTCAATTTCTTTTTAGCTAATTATTGCCTCTGGTTTGTTTGTTCACAGTAAATGCAGATGACCGAGAATCAAACATGGTTTTCAGTTCAAACTCAAATGAAATAGAAGAAGATGATAGCAATGAGGAACTCCAAGTTCCTTCTGATGATGATGGTGCAACAGGCAATAAGCCAAACATAAACTTCCTGTCATCAATTAACTGGACTACAGAAGGTGTGGAAACCAAAAGCAGTGATGAGGAGTTTGAAAACCTGCGTGACAAGGATCTCGACAATACTACTCAACAAGTACACCAGAATCATGATTTCTTCTCTCAAAGGGAAGGTGTTAGGGATGACATGGATGACAATTTAGACTTGTTTAATTTAAAATCACTATCTAGTGATGAATTCAATGAAGACTTGCTTAATTTCAAGACTTCAGGTGAACCAAATGGTCATCTGTTTAATTTGGATGATTTAGATTCAGATTCAGATTCTGACGATCCCTTTAACAATGTAGATTTGCTGAATTTAGGCAATGGTCAACAGAATCAGGGTGTTTCTTCACAGCCAACTTCTCATATCTCAGTTGTGGACGACATGGGAGTTGATCTGTTGAATTTATCACCAGCAGGAAGTAAGGATAGTCAAAATGTGGATCTTGTCAGTGGAACAGAAAAAAGCCCCCATCGAAAAATGAAACGGAATAAAAGTGCCGATGATGTTCTCAGTCCTGGACTGCATGAAGATGATGAGTTTTTTAATCAGATGGGAAGTCGTAGCTCCAGCTCAAGCAGGGAAAATGTCACTTCATTCATTGTTGCTGGTGCAGATTCTGCTACATTTGATCCCTTTCAGACTACAAGGACTAAATCTCCTGATCTGCCCACAGGGGGCAGTGGTAGTGAGCCAGCATCCCCAGACTTATTTGACCCATTCAGCTCTGAAAGTCCAAGTACAAAGCTTTCTGACAAGTTTGATCTTTTTGGTGCGGAGCCAGGTCAGAGCAACAGCAGTGCAGAAACATTTCCACCTTTCAGCACAAAGAACAATGGATCAAACCTGAATTCATTCGATCCGTTTGGAAAGACCTCAGCAGAGCAAGACCTCTTTGGAATTGGTGGATCTCAGGTTCCCACGGCATCTGTTCAGGCTCCAACACAGAGTGATACGGATCTGTTTGGAGACTGGGGTGACTCCTCATCAGAAACTCTTCAACCATCTAAAGTTCCATCACCAAATCCTCAAAAAAAGCCAACTAGCCCAGCACCACAGAACAAACCAAGTGATCCTTTCTCAGACTTTGGAAATTTAACATCAAATTTACCAAAGTTTCCCTCTGCTCAAACCTTTAAACCAAGTACATCAACTTCACCCAAACCACAGAGGAAACCAGGGCCCTCCACTAGTGCCAATCCTTCTTGGTCTCGTCCAGCCCAACAACCATCCTGGCAGCCTGGGGCTAAACTAAGTAGCTCAGCAAAGGTTCCACAAAAACCAAACTATGCACCCTCCTACAGTATGTCTGGTTCTTCTGGGGTATTTGGAAACTATGGACAAAAATGGAGTGGTGAGGGAGTATTTTTTTTATTAATGAAAATAGTTTTATTTTTATAATTGTGAGTATAGACCCTTGTATATCTCTTCTCTATCTTTTTAAAGGACACACCTGAACTGTGACTTGTATCAGTGAGAGCACTTGTAGTGGGGTCTGGGTGGTATGAAATGAAACCAAAGTGATTGTAATAACTTACCAATTTGAAAGTATCAACCCTTTACAACTTCACATTATACATATTCTCCACACTGTTCTCTATACATTTCCTAAGGTGCTGACAAGGAGAATTTGTCTAACAATCAAGAGCTTCTTTAGTTGGTGATCATTTCCTTTATTCTCCTGACCTTAATGTTTGATTCAGGGCTGATATAGTAAGGAGAAATTAGATGCTAGTAGCTCTTGGGGGTTAAAGGGTTCAGGTGAAATGAACTTCACCCCTTTTTCACACCCATCTTGTTTTGTTAAATTTTTTTTTGAAACATTCTTTAATGGTTTCCCTTTTTCAGCACCCAAACCAGTTGGCCAAAATGAATTTAGTGACATTCTAAATGCACAAGGTTTTAATCGCCCAGCTGCACAAGGGGCACAAACTCTAAGCTCCCTGAAAAAGGAACAAAACAAACCTGATGACCCTATCAAAGCTAAGGTACCGTACCATTAAGAACATCTATTGACATAATTTAAATATTGTCAATTTATTACTTTTATGACCCCTGGTCATATTTGCAACCATTCTTTACATTGTAAATTGTTTATACAGACTGATTTGACATGCAGGGTCCACCAAGATAATGGCTTAATTTTTTTTTTCTTTCAAGGTCAATGAGTGGTCTGAAGGTAAAAGAGGCAATATCCGAGCCTTACTATGTTCACTCCACCTTATCCTGTGGGAAGGAGAAGACAGATGGAAACCATGTGGCATGCACAATCTTGTTCAACCTGAACAGGTACTACCATCATGGTGACCACAAATAATAGTGTGATTATACTGTGAATACAAGTATCACTGTAAGATATGCTAGACATGAGATTTATCAATTGAAATTGGTGTTCAGTAAGTTAATGAGCTTTTCTTCTAACTTATTTGTATGTCTTGCCAAGGGAGCACAGCAGAATTTATTTTCCCTTGATTTCGGGCATCTTTCCTGTATTTCGAGTTGCCATGTTGCTTTTTCGCTTTTATCCGCTGACCGCTATGTTGAGCTTCTTTGCGACTCGCCTCACCCCTTCGGGGCTCATTCATACTGACCTCGGAAAATCGCCGCTTCGCGGCTCAACATAGCAGTCAGCGGATAAAAGCGGAAAAGCAACATGGTGACTCGAAATACAGGAAAGATGCCCAAAATCAAGAGAAAATAAATTCTGCCATGCTCCCTTGGTCTTGCAATAATAATCACAGAGAAATTGAAACCCTTTCTTCCCAAGACCTCATGAGGATTTAGTATTGGATCAACTAACAATCTCTTAATTGATATTTTTCGATTGTAAAGAGAGATTTTGTCTTGGCCACTCAGGAGAGTTTAAGAGTTAAAGTGTTTCCCAGCGATGATTCATCATAATTTTCTTATCTTGGGCATTGACAAACAGATCAATTTTTTATTGTAGGTGAAAAAATGGTACAGAAAAGCTGTACTGTCAGTACACCCTGACAAGGTGGGTACATCTAAACTTGATAAATCCTTAAATTCTCCAAAATTGAATTTCATACTTTTCAGTCTATAGTCATTCAGAGAATTGGTTGGATCATCACAACATATTTTTGAAAGCATCATTTCTTGTTTGTTTGATAATAAATTACCTGAATGTGTTTGCAGGAAGCTTAAAAGGTCAACCACTGTTGTGAAAGTCAATTTGTCAATAGTTATTTTACCCATGGGTCAAAAATATGATTTAATTTGTCTAAACTGTGAACTATGTGTCACCTTTACATAGGATAATGTACTATTAATGTGATCAGATTCCTAGCTTTGTAGCCCAGTTGGTTGTCCTGTCTAACCTGTATGTGGGAGGCACTGTTCAGTTTACCTTCAAGCTGAATTTCCAGTCTTGTTGACTCTAACTTAATTGTGGCACAACTTTGACGCTGTCAAGTCTGATTTATTCGATATGAACTCAACAGAAATGTGTTAATCAACAGACTCCTTTTATTCTTTTTAGCTAACTGGAAGCCCAGAAGAGCCATTAGCACGTGCAATTTTTATGGAATTAAATGATGCCTGGGCAATATTTGAAAAGGAAGGATCCAAACCACTATTGTAAAGGAAAATGTTAAAACATATGATGTGATGGTCAGGTGAAAAGACTTTCTTTCAGAGAGATACAGAGAAAAAGAGACAAATGAATGGAACTGGCAAAAAGTGAGAGATGAAGAGAAAAATGAAGGGGGGCTATCCAAACAACTCCCCTCCTTCTCCATTTCTCCTCACCTTGGCTTGTTTGCCTTTTTACCTCACTGCTGTTTTCATTTGCTGCCAATTGCAAGACTGAAATGAGACAGTGTAATCTGCATAGAATAATTACTAGGAATTATTACCTCCCCGTATATCTCCCAGTTAGTTTTGTGGGCTATGATTGATCAATTTAGTGAATGGGAATTGTAATGTACAGCCCTCTCAATCCTCAATTCAAGAGTTTTCTTGAATTGAAACCTCCCCCCCATCTACTTGAACTCAGAGATAAACAATTTTTTCTAACCTCATTTTCTCCTTCCATACTGTAACTTATGAAACCTAAGCTTGTTTTTCCACTCGACCCAGAACTTACAGTAAAGACCTCAAACTTGTTCAGTAAGAAGCATTAATTTTAAATTGATGGGAATATATACACTCATTTGTAGATGCTACAAGTTGATGTACATGTACATACATTATTTCTTAAGAGAACTATTGAAACCATTTCTCACAGTTGTACTTCATTTCAGATCTCCCCCTCCCCCCCCCCATCCCATCCCTGATATCCTTAGAACAAAACATATTAATTTTATTGTCAAAGATGCCTCCAATAACGACATCAATTGACTACAACTACCTTGATTCATTTCGCATTTCCTTTAAGATATTAATTTATCTATCCCAAGGAGGGGTTTTCAATGAGGAAACTAAAGGATTCTGGTAATTGTGGTCAAATTACAATTTTCAGAAAATTTTTTACAAATGCTAATTTAATTGCCTTCTGTCTTAACAAATTGTGTTGTTGGATTAGATGCATATATTACAGAGTTGACTTAAAGGGGTATTATTTTTTATTACTTCATGATGAGAAAAAATTAAGCCTTTATTATTTTGTTTCATTAGCAAATTATTTTGTTTCATTCATGAGGCTACCACATGTAAGTAGTGATGTGTGAAATTTTGTGTAGTGAAATATGTAGTGTCCAGGCCTCCAAGCCCATGCCCAAGGCCTCAGGAGACATAGACTCGAATACTTATTATGCACTGAGTGAGAAAATTTAGGATAACAAAATACACAAACTGTAAGCGAACTGTGTAAGCGAACTCCTGAACATTACAAAATATTAATCTTAAAAAATAATTCCTTGTCGTCAAGTTACTAATGAGGAATTAATAATAACTTGTGGTCATTTGCCTTTAATGTCATAACTCATTGTTTTTAGTAGCTCTGTTATTCCTGATGTTGGTTTTGAGGGGGTAACTTGGTTAAAACAGTTGGTGAGAGGTGTATCTCTTCTAAGTCTGCAGAGTTGACAAACTTTGTATTTAAAATTGTCACTTGCTATGGTGGGTTGGTCAATTTTAAATGAAGGGGGGTACAAGGTACTATAATGGGCCTTTAGAGGAAGCTTACCTGTAAAAGAATGCAGTGGATGTACCTCCACCTTTAGTTCATTGGAATTGCTTGGTAATAGATGTCAAAATAATCCACTTGTTATAGATAATATTTGAGTAACAGCTGGTTGTGCTACATTTTGAGTTTGCTAAGTTGAAGTCTGGTATGTTTAAGGCTGCTAGTCAGTAAACCCAGTAAACCAGTGTAAATCAAATGTAAGTTGTCAAACCAGGTGGTATACCATAATTGAAAAATCTGAGAAATGGACCACCATCCATTAAACATATGGCTTTCACTTAAAGGTTTTAATGTATCTGCTGCCTTTGGTGAAGGTACACTTTCCAACAAAAGTGAACAAGAGACACTTGACAAGCCTCAACAGAGGTGACTACTGACAAAGATTAATCACAACAATCACACCTGAATGGCTTTTACTTTGTATTTTATTTTCATTTTTTCCTGTGAAGCTTTGTACAAGATTAGACAAGGTACTCTGATATTCAAAACTATAACATAACTGAATCTTTCCAAATTACAGAAAAAATTGTTTACCTATAACCCAGCAGTTCAAGTTAAGTATTCTTGAATTTTAACTTCATTATGTCAATAACTTCAGGTGATTTCCTCAGATCTTTCCATTGTCACAGTTCACACATCTAGTACTAGTAGTCAAAGGCAGTCTCTTAAAAAAAAGTGCTAGTACTACTGAGCAGAAACCCCTTACATAATTCATCAGTTACAGTCATGATAACGTCAATGGAAAACTGAATTTGTCTCCAAATATCGTGACTTAGAGAACCTGTTACTCACTGATAAGTTTAGAATCTTGACATGCTTTCTGTAGAAGCCTCCTCCTAGCTGATAATTTGAATGACTAAATCCATTTCTTTTATTAACCCTTTCATTTCCAAGATTTCCATATGCCAAACTGTGTGCATCAAGTTCACATACTTTCAGTAGTTGAATCAACCAATATTCCTATGCAGATGTTTTTCTTTCTTCTAGTCACAATTCTGCTAACTAATGCATTGGTATGGTAGGGAGAATTTAAATATTGGTCACCCTGGGAGTGAAAGGGTTAAGTTCAGTGATGATCAAGTGAACCTCACATCAATTTCACTTGTGTATTCCTTGTCAACTTGATCTTTTCACTCAATTTTGTAATGAACTTAGGAAATCAGTTCTCGCAGCTCTGGTAGTCACTCAATAACTTCAAACTCTGCTTCATCTGCAAGCCAAACTGGATAGGATTGTTTTTCTTAGTACCACATATTTCACTTCTGTGACTTGATACCCACTGTGACTGAATCTGGGTCAGTCAACTGCATGTTTCATCGTGTGTCCATTGAAGTTTTATTCACTTATGAGTCAGTTATTTTCATTGCTTATCACAAATCAACATGAAAGCATTCTCTCTCAAAATGTTCATGAGGTTCTCGAGGTCCATTTGTGTCCCATCTGAGTGCACATAGATGAGTATATATTGTACTAAACCGTGGCCTACTTGGAGGCAATATATCCCAACATTCCTTCATTAAAACAAAAATTCTGGCAGGGCAGTCGGCAGGACATGGTAACAACACATGTTCTCTAATATGGTCCATGACCTCTTCATCTGAGCAGCCTTCATGAGGCCTGGAACCAAATGAAAATATCTCCCAGAGTACCACCCCGAAGGACCATATATCTGTCTCTACAGTGAACCTGTAATTAAGTACCCCTTCTGGGGCCATCCAACGTAGGGGCATAGGAGGCCTGTTAGGAACACGATAATAGTCACTGGAAAAAGGGTTGCGTGATAAAGCCACATCTGTAATTTTGACAGTCATACGAGGCCCCACCATACAGTTACGAGCAGCTAAATCTCCATGGATGTAATTATGTTGTGATATGTAATTCATTCCAGCAGCAATTTGAATTGCAATCTGCAGTTGATCGTGATAATTCAGAGGTTCAGGTTCTTCATCATCATCCACAGCACCGTCTAGAGGCGAGTTCTCCACCAGGTAGTCATATAATGTGCCATACTCTACACACTCGTACAATATACATGTGGGTGGTCCATTGTAACACATCCCCACAATGCTGATAACATTCGGATGACTAAATTTTGACCAAGTCTCTGCTTGACGCAAGAAGGTTTCCCGGTTACTTGCAGATGAGCTGTTTCGGAGGACCTTTGCAAAGATAGCTCTTGTCGTCTGAATGCCTTCCAATTTCTCCAAAACTTCACCTTTATACAGCTTGCCAAATTCTCCTTCCCCCACATCTTTTAGGAATCTAACTGTCTCTCTGCGCATCTCTTTGATCTAAAACCATAAAAGGACAAAAGAAACAAGTTTATTATTCGATAACTAATAGCAAACTCTTGACTTTGAACACCTAAGAGACTTTTTTTGAAGTACGTTTAATGACTCAGCATCTTGTTTCAAAACCTTTTGAGTCGTTGAACAAGGACACTTGACTTGCTGTGACAGTCATTTGCCACATCAAAAATTGTTATCCCCTCATCACAGTTTACAATGAACATACCTTTGGATATGACGATTTGCCCACAACAGGTACAAGTGGAGTGGCAGCTGTCTGTGCCGCTTGATAGATGATCTGCTTATGATATCGCCAGCAAATGAAGATCACCACTGAAGAGAATATGATGGCAAACAATAGACATGGAATAACAGTGTACAAGATGCTTACAATCTGTATTGACGGAGAAGCAGTGGACATCTCGTCTGAAAGAACAAGTTAATTCATTGTGAGCACTGAAAGTTCAGCTATTTAAAGTCACAGTAACTTACACTATTTAAACCACCTTTAACCCACAAGTATCCATACTCTTTATAATCTTCTCTATAAATTTTGTTTATTACTAACAAGGAGAATTTGTTCAGTGATTGAAGGCTCTTGGATTGGTGATCATTTCCTTTTATTCTCATGATCTTAATAAAGGATTCAGGAGTATTACTGTGATGAGGATTTAGATGCTGATCAACATTACTTCAGGTTTTAAGGATTAGAAGGCATTCAACCTGCTAAACTATAATAGGCATTCTCCTGCAGAGTACACCACAAGAAATCCCATTATTTCACGAGCTATTCCCACCTTTTGGCTGCAAGGTATTGGTACTCTGGATGGAAAGAGGGACACTAAACGAGGGTTTATCTAAGGAAGTAACAATGTAACATATTGATCGGTATAAATCTCCTTGCATTCTATCAGAAATGCTGCCATCTAATTGCCTGTGCTACTCACTATTACGATGAATATATGAAGTACATATATTTTGAACTGCGGTTATAGATACGTATGATGCACGATCCTCGCAGTAGAGAGCACTATTTATGCAATAGCGAAAACCAGACCTGAAAAAAATCAGGCCTGTACGGGATTCGAACCACTGACCTCTGCGATACTAGTGCAGCGCTCTACCAATTGAGCTAACAAGCCAACTGGGAGCAGGCCGTTAAGTAGATTCGTAATAAACCCGTGATGATAAATCAGATACGATGAATATATGAAGTTCATATATTTTGAACTGCGGTTATAGATACGTATGATGCACGATCCTTGTAGTAGAGAGCGCTATTTAAGCAATAGCGAAAATCAGACCTGAAAAAAATCAGGCCTGTATGGGATTCGAACCACTGACCTGACCTATTGCATAAATAGCACTCTCTACTGCGAGGATCGTGCATCATACGTCACTATCTATTATGTGATAGATTAGTACTGTGCAGTAAGTATTGTGAGTGGCCTAACAATGTTTTCCTTTGTCCCACACCCGTGACATTGGCACATCTCCAATCTGTTCATCAGGAGTTCACCAAACTGTTAACAAGACCATGCCCCCACTACCAACATGTAAATTCTTACTATGATGGCTATACTCAAAATTATTATGTAGAAGTTGTTATCTTGATCCAATACCAAGTTCCTGTTACTTATTGACAGGGAAATATGTTGCAGCTAGAGGAGAATATCAACAGTCAGATCTTGCGAGTTGCAGGATTAATTTTAATTAATATCCATTTAAATTATAAAAAAATTAAAAGCTTACCACAGCTTGGAATAGCACAGTAATCAAACTGAGTATCAGCATCAGTAGTAAAACACCAAGGTTTCTCCCTTTTCCCACCAGGATTTCGACAAAAGTTGTGTCCTCCTTCAAGCTCTGGGTATTCTTTTGGTGAAAGAAGGTGATGATGAGGTTTTGTAACATTCCAGTGCTGACAGTTAAGGCCTTTTTCTGTAACACTAACATTTGCACGGAAATCTTCTCCTTTGTCCTTATAGCATGCATTCATGGGTGAAGCTGAAAGCGAGGCCAAACAAACATTTTCATTTAGTAAAACACAACTCTCCTATGGTATCATAGCTTTCTAATGTTGAGCTAATTACAGTTATATCTTCTTAAATGGCTCATTTACAGTGTAAATCAGTCTCTTGTTGCATCTTATGGAATGGCACTAAAGAAAAGCGCTGATCCCACCAATTGAGCAAACTTATTAGAGTAAGAAAAACAATAAATACAACAGAAAAGCATCATTGTTGTTGTTGTTTGTTTTTTTTTTTAAGGGCACATTAACCCTGAACTCATTACACCCTGACATCAGTAACCATATTCTCCATACTGCTTTCTATAGATTTCCTTTGGTGCTAACGGAGAGAATTCATTCAACACTAAAAGCTTTTTAGAGTAGTGATCATTTTCTTTATTTTCAAGATATTAATGACAAGTTAGCTCAGTTGGTTAGAGCACCGGACTGTTGTGCAAGAGGCTGAGGGTTCGAGCCCCAGCCGGACCAACACTCAAGGTCTTAAAATAACCAAGGAGAATGTGTGACCTGTCTACAACATCAAGAAATGGATAGACATTCTCATCTTCTCGGATAAGGATGAATAAACTGTAGGTCCTGTCTCCTGCATCTATTTAGAAGTTAATTTGGTTGGGAAGGGGATGTTAAAGAACCCACTCACAAGATTACTGTGATGTGGTCTGGCCTGGTTACTGGGGATTGGCGGGGAGGGGGCATCTTCAAATAAGTTTCCTTCAATTGATTGTAAACTGCTGATGCAGTCTGCCCAAATTCCCCCAAAAAGTGTTGTGATGCACATTTGATCATATCCAAATGTTAATTGGTGCAATATAAATATTAAATAATTATTATTATTATTATTATTATTATTATTGTTATTAGATGCTGGTCTCTCAAGGTTGAAGGGGTTAACAATATTAACCTTTAAGTACTGATGTTTCCAAGGTGAATAAAAAAGCAGTCCACAGGTGACTGCACAAAGAAAATGAAAAAAATTTCTAAGTTAACATGTACATCATTAAGCTTGATTCATTATATTTCACCCATGTACTTCTTTTATGTGAATATACATACTGAGATTTTAACCACAAAATCTCATGTAGCAATGAGTTTGTGCAACACTAGCACAACAATTTGATAAAGCTGTAGTACCTGTTTGACAATTTATCATAACATGTATGCTTTTCTAGGTACTTTTCAGCTATAATTATCATGATTTGTTGTTCAGTGTAATAGTAGGAAGAGAAGGAAAGAAATAAGAATCACTGTCACTAACCATTCTTTAATACAACTGGCTTTGGATTTCTCTGAGCTTTGCCTTTCAAGTTGGATATACAGTTCTTTCCCTGCTTTGAATCTCTACGAGGCAATATTGAACATTCTGGAAGAAGCACTCCCTGAAGTGATGCTTGTTTAGCCATATAGTACTCACTTTTACAGATATCAGTGCGTAGAGATTCACATGTTTTATAGCAAATGTGACGAGGAGTAGGAACTGAGGAGGTCTTATCACAGCTAGGGAGATTATAATGGCACAGTAAAGGTTTTACAAATGGCCGACACTGCTTGCTGATCTTTTTATGACCCTGTATTTTGTGGTAGGCATTTGTGATTTTTTTCTCAATGTTTTCTTGTTTTTCATAACTTCTTACAAAGATGGACCATCCTTTCAATAGTTTTTCACAAAATGTGCCATTGTAGATGACACAGGAACCATTTTCTGGAACAGCAGGAGGTGTTTGTATTTCCCTGAGGGTAAAACAACAAATTTGTTAGAAAAATAAAAATAAAATGTAAAGAGAAATTTGGGCTTTAGAATTTTACATAAGGTTCACAATCTTATCATCTAAGCTACTAACAAACTCATAACTCTGAATTCTCTCTCTCCTGGAATTGTTTAAGCCCGGCTACTCTAACAATTAATTAAAGTGTGACTTCTCCATATAATATCCAAGCATGACCTACAGGCAGTAAGAATACTCAAATTCACAGGTACGTAATTATTATCCTGATCTTACATTAAATTCTTGAAACTAGTTGACAAGAATATGTTTAGCTGGTAGAGTGGATAATTGACAATCATATCTTGGGAGTCAAAAGATTAAAGGAAATTCTTGTCACAAAGAGTACGGTTATCAGTTTCAAAAACTTGATCCCAGATCTTGGAACATTCACTCACAAATCACCAAATGTTGGATTTTCATGTTCCTCCTCCAGTCCAGTGTGTCCAGCATTAGCTTGCTGTGAGTGTTCTGTAAATGTGGCTGAAGGAGAAACTTAAACTTAGATTATGTGGAATTCATACAGAGCAACTTAGAGAAGTTACCTACGTTGTATCATATCACATCATTGCAAAAAAGAAAACTTAATGATCACCAATGGCCTATAACTGGTTAAACAACCTCTTGACCCATCTGTTGAGGTTCTATTTTGTATTAGTATATTTCAGAGCTGAGCAAAGAGTTTCCAGCAATCTGATTGGTCGAGTGGTTCCTTATATGACACTATATAAACCACTCCACACGGTTTATATAAAACATTAAAATAATATGTTGCTAAAATGTTATGATTTTAGAAATTTCTCTGTTGTTCAGCTCTGAAATTATACTAAAACAATTATTCGCCTCAGGTTTGGTGAATATTGTCGAATAATCCCCGAGACTTTGTCTCAGGGATTATTTGACAATATCCACCTCTCCTTCCGTGAATAATTGTTAATTATTTGTGGAAATAGCCTCTCATTCCACCATTCGCAGGCACTAGCAGAAAAACTCCTCCCAAAATGTATGGACCTGCGTCAAGTGACAAATATTGATTCTGAACCTGCAAGTGTAGACCACGTCTTAGAATAACCACTCCTCTCTTCAGTGATCAACAAATGTTAGATATATAAATGTGGTAATTGAATTTTCATCACTATATAGATCTTGAGTAAGAATATTATTACTTGGTTAGGAATGTAATACCTTGAGTAGTGGAAGTCAGTGGGGAAGTAGGTGAAGGTGTGTTTTCTAAAAGGGAAAGATAAAATTCAGTTAAATTCACAACTTCACAGAAACACTGTAGAGGAACAGTTACTATGTAAAGTATTAAAGAAACAAATGAATAAAGGCTGATAGTTTCTAAAGACACTGTTTGGGGCTGTGTCGGTGGGGGTAAAGAAATAATTTGGATACATCAACAAAGTTGAAATGGTAAATTGGCCACCGTAATGATTACAAAAGCTGATGTTTCGAGTGTTAGCCCTTCCCTTCGACGAAGGGCTAACGCTCGAAACATCAGCTTTTTTAATCATTACAGTGGCCAATTTACCATTTCAACTTTGTTGATATATCCAAATTATTTTATAA